GGCCCAGCCGCTCCGCGGCATGTGGGATCTTCCCAGACCGGGGCACGAACCCGTGTCCCCTGCATCAGCAGGCGGACCCTCAACCACTGCACCACCAGGGAAGCCCTCTATCAACTTTTTAATGTTTCATTTTTATTACGAATTTTACACTCAAAACACTGGAGAATAGGAAAGTGAGCTAGCCAGAGAATCACGCTGGAATGAGCTGGTCCTGTAAGGGCACAGGTGAGGCTGGCTGACACGAAATCCCAGCAGTACGAAGCCACCCTGCTGTGTGATTTCTACCACCAGTATTCCGGGTGAAAACGGAGAGTCTGGTTCAACCAGGGTCTGGGTTTACTAGGATTAAGGGCAAGGGAAATAAAGCCATTGCCAAGAGAACTACTGAAGGATTGGCTATGAACTCGAAGCTCAGTTAAGAGGTAGCAGCCTACAGGGAAGTGTCTAAAGGCTGGAGAAAACCATGGAGGTCCTGAGGAGAAAGATGCTGAGGGCAGAGCAGAAACAACTGATCAAGCGTGCTGGAAAGAAGAGACTGGGGTTGAAGGGCGCTGCACTGTTCATCTGTGAGGTGGTGCATGCAGCACCGGGATGGAAATCCAGGGGATCGTGGCGGGAACGGTGACAGAGGTGGATGAGCAGAGGTAATCACTGCAGATGAGGTGTTCAAGAAAATAAGCGTTCCCGCGTGAACACTGGGTCCTCCACATGCACGCTAGGAAGTCAACTAGGATGATGGCAAGAACTGAGGCAGAGAGGAAGGCCTGTGGGCCAGATACCCAAGTCATCAATGAATTAGGTGAATAACCAGCAGAAGGTAAAAAACAGTAATATGGAGGAGAGGATGCTGGGGACGTGGGTCTCAAAGAAATGGGGTGAGGGGACAAAGAGCAGTGAGGACACAAATTCTGATCCTCCTGATTCTAGGATATCCAGGGTGTGAGAAAACAGAGGCATGACTTGGCTTCAAGAAAAGGATATCCCCAGGGAAGGGCCGGCGTCAATACAAAGAGAGGGACGGAATGACTAAAGAGAGGCTAAGGAAATAGAGGTGGGGGATGATTATGGAGTGGTAATTTCAGAGGGCACAGTGGGGGCTGCAGGAGGGGTGCGATCAAGGGTAAAAATGAGTGGGGAACTGACTTAGGGGCACAGCATGATGGGGAAGATAAGGAGGACTGGGGAGTGGGGTGAGTTAGCCATCCTGGTAAGTGCACTATAGATAGCTGTTGAATCAAATGGGAGTTATTAGGCATAAACCTAATATATCCAATCAGAAGCGTTCTAACTGTTGGACTGTAGGAGTGACGGAGTCTGTGGTGATCACGATGATGATGATGATTTGGTGACAATGGGGCAGTGATGATGACAACAACTACCAATTGTGAACACCTACCGTGTGCCAAGCACTCTTGGAAGCACGCCACATTTAAGCCTCACAACAACCCTCTGAGACCGATAACAGCATTATTATCTGCAGAGGGGCTCTAAACCAAAAGGAAGGAGCAAATTAAAACAGAAATAACAGAATTGTAGGAGCCCTGGGGAGCTAATCGGCTTTTTGAACATTATTTTAGGGATCTTACAGCTATAACTCATGGCAGCAGGAACCAGCATGACCCACAGCTATTTCAGTAACTTCAAACAAATAATATTCAGACTGGAGGAAAAATCAAAATAACAATAAGAATTTATTGAAGGGTTCACTTCGTGCCAGATCCTGTGCTAACCTTTGCATGGATTATCTCATTTAATCCTCATATCTAAAAGGCAAGTTACCATTATTATCCCCATTATAAAGATAAAGAAAACTAAGGCAGAAAGAGAGTAACAGGCCCACAATTCACACAAAGAATTCCTATTTAATAAGATGACTTCTTGACAAGACTTAAGGGTTTCATATGTTACAGTGAAGGTGCAGGTCACAGTATCAACAGAACTTGAAAGTTATTAAATCCTGCAAAATATCTTAAAACATTAACTTATGGATTCTCACCATCTCTTTGCGTGTTTTTTCCAGATGAGAGAAAACCCAGTGCAAAAAAAGCTTTGATGAAGTGCATCCAGATGGCAAACATGTCTGGTTTTTACGGCCCGGGAACCTACCCCAGAAGATTCTGATTCAGTGGATCTAGAGTCGGCCCTGAGTATCTGCGTTTCTTTTAAAAGCTCCAAAGGCTCTGCTGGTGTGCAGTTTGGGCTGGGAACTACTGCCTTAGATTCTCTGCAGTTCCAAATCCAAACTTCCCCTATGAAGTTGAGATGTCTGAAGACACCAAGGGCATTGGAAACTGAGGCAGAGAAGAGGTGAAATTATAAAAACCATCCAACAGAGAGCCAAGGAAAGGCATGCTCTGGTTATACTATTTCTCTGTACTTTTGTGTCTGAACTATTTCCTAGCTAATTTGCTTTATTTTCTTAAATTAATTTTTATTGTAGTTGATTTACAATGTTGTGTTAGTTTCTGCTGTACAGCAAAGTGAATCAGTTACACATATACATATATCTACTCTTTTTTAAGATTCTTTTCCCATACAGGTCATTACAAAGTATTGAGTAGAGTTCCCTGTGCTAGACAGTAGGTTCTTATTAGTTATCTATTTTATATATAGTACCTAATTTGCTTTATGTAGGCAAGTTGGCCAAAAATGTTACCAACAAATATTAAATGAGCCAAGTATTACCAATAAATATTAAGTAAACCTAGCCCTAACGTGCTACTGAAAAGTATTTTATTTCTCTCTGGTAATTCTGACGGCACTTCTGATTCTCTTAGCAAACAGCAGTCAAATATGAGAAAAATTGCTTCTAATTCAATAATGCTACGGATGTGGTCAACAGAGATCAAAAGCTGGAGAAGAAATACAGTTGGGTATAATTCATTTAAGCTCACAAATTTCACCAGGGACTGCCTTCAAGCCTTTAATACTTATGAATGTATTTATCTATTTATTTAATCAACCACCACTAACACGTACTACACGCCAGACACTACACTAAGTGCTTTACTAATATTTAATATCATTTCATCTTTACAAGCACCTATGAAGTGGGTATTATTTTCATCCCCACTTTACAGATCAAGAGACTGAGACACAGAGTGATTTAGTAACCTGCCCAAGTTCACGCAGCTAGTGAATGGCCCATCTTGACAGTCTGGCTCCAGAGTCCATGCTCTGAATCACTATGCTTAGTCTCCAAGACCTACAAAAAGTTCAAACCTTAACCCCAAACTTGTTTTCCCCACCAGGTCCCTACAAGGCCGCAGCTTCCAAGGCATTCATTCAGTTCCTCAAACAGTCCATACTCCTTCCTTGACCTGCCTGAACACCCTCTTATATCCCTATTTTCTTTCTTTTTTAAAGTCATCTGTTCTCAGCTCAAACATTATCAACTAAATTTCAAACTCTAATGGCGCACTGTATTTCTCAGCATTAAACACAAAATTGTAATTATATTACTTCCTGGGTAATTATTTGCTTCCTGTCTTTTCCAACTAGGGGGTGAGTTCAGACACCATGTCAATCTTCTTCATGGGTTCTCAATCACTGAATACCCACCAACCAGACAAAAGGAAATAAGCTCTCCATAATTTGGGTTTTCTTTTTTTGTTTTTGGCCACGCTGCCAGGCTTGTGGGATCTCAGTTCCCTGACCAGGGACTGAATCCGCGCCCTTGGCAGTGAAAGTGCAGAGTCCTAACCACTGGACCGCCACGTAACTCCCTCAATAAATTTTGTTGAATGAATGAATGAGTGGCATACACTCAAGTCTCATGCTTTCTTTTTCATGCTTTCTGGTACGTGACACATACCTGTGCTCGCAACGGCCCCCCACATAGCCCCCACTACACCCGCAAAAGTGCAGACTCCAATAGCACACAGGAAAGCTCTCTGGAAAATACTGGCTCTGCACACAAATATTATGTGACCCTGGACAGGTCATTTCCCCCCTTAACTGACCTGAGTTTCAGGTGCACAATGGGGATCACGCCAAGTCCCAATGGAATGTAACCTACAAAAGAGGGAGAACCTGCACTTCTCCCCATAACCTATCAAAACTGTAGTTATTACTCGTGTGTTTCCAGCAAGACCCTGGCTCCGAGAAGGCCAAGTCCACGTCTGCCTGGTTCAGCGCCGTATCCCAGGCACGGTACCCGCGGGCTTGTACCGTGCCTGGCCCACAGCAAAAATTAGATAATTATGAGTTAAGTAGATGAATGCCTGCTCTGAGCATTTCACAGATGTCGCACGAGTTGACGGGTGACTTCTGGCGTAAAAGCGTATTCCTTAGACACAGGCCCGCCTCCCACCTAGGCCCCAGCCCCCCGGAGATGCCAGCCCCTAACCCCACGCCAGGCAGTCACCTCTTGCATATAGAAGCATCTTCGCAAGTGCCGCGCACGCCCTCGTCGTCCGTGTCGGTAGGGGAAGAACAGGTGGTGAAAGAGGGCCTCCTCAGGCTAGTGGCCATGGGCGTGAAGGTGTCGGGGTGCTGCGTCCACCGGTGACATGGAAGCGGGGTCGACGGACGCCGGGAAAATGAGCGAGCCCCGGACAAGGTAGTAGAGACGGACTGGGTTCTACAAGGCTCACCTGGCGCGGCTCAGTGACACCGCCCACGGCGGCTGCCCCAGCAACCTGCCCGCTGATTAGATCCTTTGCGAAGACGCTCATTGGACAATTTCCCCGCCCCATCAGCCCACGGAGGTGCCCATTGGACAACTCCCTTGGCCCCGCCCACATAACCCGGAAGTACCCGGAGGGAGAAAGTAAACTGAAATTGACGTAAGAGGGCACCGCAATGCTCTCCGGGAATTGTAGTCTTAGGGGCTTTGAGAGGCCCCTGCGTTTCTTTTCTTTTTTTTTTTTTTTTTCGCGGTACGCGGGCCTCTCACTGTTGCGTCCTCTCCCGCTGCGGAGCACAGGCTCCGGACGCGCAGGCTCAGCGGCCATGGCTCACGGCCCCAGCCGCTCCGCGGCATGTGGGATCTTCCCGGACCGGGGCACGAACCCGTGTTCTTTGCATCGGCAGGCGGACTCCCAACCACTGTGCCACCAGGGAAGCCCCGCCACAGGGTTTCTTATTGCTAGTCACGAAATTTTATAACTGTAGTTAACTCAGAGCGGAAGAGCTGGAAGGATTCTCAGCACTGGGGCAAAGGGCTGAGAATCCAGACGGAAAAACAAGTGTCAGTGTTACAGTCAGTTGGGGCTCAGTCTCATTCAGAAATTGAACAAGTATTTACTGAGTGCCGACTCTACCCCAGGAACTGGGCGAAGAGCTTTGCACACATAATCGCCTTTGAAATGTTGTGAGGGAAGGAATATGTGGAAAACGAATACAATGGAAAACTATGTAGCAGTGAAAATGAACGAACTAGAGTTACCAGTTACAAGCATCAGTGTCTGAATTTCAAAAACATGATATTCGGTGAAAGAAGAAATAGATAACATTTTTGTAAAGTTCAATCCAAGCAAAACTAATGTTATTTAGAAAAACAACATATATGGTAATAATATACAGAAAAGTAAAGGAATGAGTGGAGAAAAACAGAAGTTAGGCTCCTTGTGACCTTTAGGGAGGAGGGTAGGACACTCCTCCAGGGAAACGAAATGGGGAAGTGGTATATAGACACTTCAATAATTTCTTTTTTTTTTTTAATTTTTATTTATTGATTTATTTATCTATGGCGGTGTTGGGTCTTCGTTTCTGTGCGAGGGCTTTCTCTAGTTGCGGCGAGCGGGGGCCACTCTTCATCGCGGTGCGCGGGCCTCTCACTATCGTGGCCTCTCCCGTTGCGGAGCACAGGCTCCAGACGCGCAGGCTCAGTAACTGTGGCTCACGGGGCCAGCTGCTCTGCGGCATGTGGGATCTTCCCAGACCAGGGCTCGAACCCGTGACTCCTACATTGGCAGGCGGATTCTCAACCACTGCGCCACCAGGGAAGCCCCAACTTCAATCATTTCTAAAGCTGAGGTAGGTTCACGTGTGTTTGTTTCACTATGATACATATTCAAGATATTCATATATTGTGTACTAGACTTATTATAAAACATTTTCTTTTCTTTTAACTTTTTTTTTAATTTTTGGCTGCGTTTAGTCTTTGTTGTTGCACGCGGGCTCTCTCCAGCTGCAGCGAGCAGGGACTACTCTTCGTTGCAGCGCACAGGGTGCGTGGGCTTCTCACTGCGGTGGCCTATCCTGCTGCAGAGCACGGGCTCTAGGCACGCAGGCTTCAGTAGTTGTGGCACACGGGCTTAGTTGCTCCGCGGCATGTGGGATCTTCCTGGACCAGGGCTCGAACCCGTGTCCCCCGCATTGGCAGGCGGACGCCCAACCACTGCGCCACCAATAAAACATTTTCTAACTAAAATTTTTAAAGTGTGTTTGCATGTTCCATTTCATTATCTGTCAGGAGCAGAGCATGGATATACTCAAACTTGAAGAACCTTGAGTCTTACACACGCACACACAGACACACACACACACACAAGCAAAGTAAACAAAGGACAACAAAAACCCAGTACACATATCTCGGGGCAAGATCAGTTATCAAATCCTTGCTTAGTATTCAGTGGAGGAACAAGAGCCCATTGATAACCAAAGTAGAAATGACAGTGGGGAAGGCTGAGGTTAGGGAGTTTTGCCAGGGGGAGTGGTGATGAGATGAAATACACCACTTTCTCTGAGTGATCCTTTGGCAAGAGGGTAATGCAAACCAGTGAACACGCATAGTCTCCCAACTTGGCGGTGTACACAGTCCATGGGTGTCAGTGGGCAAGAACAGTGGGTCCACAGCAAGCAGTAGTATAAGACATCAATTCCATAGGTCTGGATGGTGAGGCTGAGGGACTAGAAGAAGGTGGAGCCTTCTTCCTCTCTTGTTTGATGAGCAAAGAACATCTCTGATCTCTGCTGAGAGTTTGATTCAGAAAAACTGGTGATTCAGAGGACTTTGGTCAGTTTCTCACTGAGGGGTCACCCCAGAGGCTTCCTGCAGGCAGGGGTAGCTCATTCCATTTGAGCTCCTGGTCAAGGCGCTGGAACTTTATGATACAGGAGTGGAATCTGGAAATGGCAAAGCTTAGCCATCTTAAGCTGCATAATACCTCCAAATATGAGACTACGCTGGGGTGGCCATGAACAACGTCCCAGCGAAAGTTCACTGACGATTAATCTGCATCCCCTGATAAAGTCAAGAAAAGAGAAACTAGAGTTTAAAAGCCCTGTTGAACATTAGTTAATATTGGGAGCAAATAGCTGGGCTCTAACCATGAAACTTCTCCCTGAGAGGCTAGAGTGGACGTTTGCCACTTTGGCTATTCAGTATTCTTTCTTCTATAACAACAAGCAGAGTTTATTATGGAGAACCACATTCTCCTTTTAGTCCACATGGATCAGGTAAGGCTCTGTGCCTGACACTGGGGGTGGAACCTTACCAAGGCCTGGCCAATCATACACAAAATCACCCTAGCTACACTTCAAGAGTGTGTGTGTGATGTGGTGGTGGTGACCAGGTTGGTCCAATCAGAATGAGCCCCAGGAGTTGAATAGGAGTTGTTAAGTCTATAAGCGCTCTCTTTTCTGGCAGACTTGAACCCGGGAGGCTGTACCTTTGAAGCTACTGAGGGCCATCTTGCTACCTTGTATAGCCTGAGAATTTTGCTATTGGGAAGGCTAATGTTGTCTGGAACACTATATGCTCAGTTAGGGGTGACCTGACTTTGCAGTGTGGGGCTGATGGGAAAATCACCAGAGCCTGTGATGGATCAATCAGAAGAGGCTGAATTCAGAAAGATGAAATAAACACCTGCAGCTTTCATCCTGATCTGCGTGCACACTATCCCTCCCCGCCCATCACTACCTGGTAGAACCTCAATCAAATCATTGTCTTCCTTCTTGGCTGGTCCAGTTTTCTAAGTTTGTGGCCTGTGATTTCTTCACAAGCTTTCCATAGACAGCTATGGCCTGTTGAAAAGGCTATCTTTCCTGCTTTGAACTGCTTTTGCACGATTGTCAAAAATCAGTTGAGCAGGCTTCCCTAGTGGCACAGTGGTTAAGAATCTGCCTGCTGATGCAGAGGACATGGGTTTGAGCCCTGGTCCGGGAGGATCCTACATGCTGCAGAGCAACTGGGCCCGTGCGCCACAACTACTGAGCCTGCACTCTGGAGCCCGCGCGCCACAACTACTGAAGCCTGCGCACGACGACTATAGAGGCCCGCATGCCTGGAGCCCGTGCTCCGCAACGGGAGAGGCCACCACAGTGGGAGGCCCGCACACTGCAGCGGAGAGTAGCCCCTGCTCGCCGCAACTGGAGAAAGCCCGCGTGCAGCAACGGAGACACAACACAGCCAAAAATAATAAATAAATAAATTTATTTTAAAAAATCAGTTGAGCATATTTTTGTGGGACTATTTCTGGATTCCCTGTTCATTGATCTATGTGTCTGTCCCTCTGCAAATACTACACAGTATTGGTTACTACAGCTATATAATAAGTTTTGAAATGGAGAGGACTGACTGCTCCCATTTTATTACTTTTTTCAAAACTATTTTAGCTATTTTAGTTCCCTTATCTTTCCATAAAATTTTAGAATAAACTTGCCTATATCTACAAAAAAAAAAAGGCTTACTGGGTTTTGATATGAATTGCATTAAATCTATCAATTTTGGGAGAATTAACATGTTTACTATTCTTTGTCTTCCAATTCATGAACGTGGTATATCTCTGCATTTGTTTAGATCTTTGATTTCTTTTACCACTGTTGTAGAGTTTTCAGTATACAAGTCCTGGACATGTTTTGTTAGATTTACACTTAATTATTTTATTTTTATTAGTGACTGTAAATGTGTTTTACTTTTTGGTGTCCACATGTTCATTGCTAGTATCTAGAAATACAATTGATTGTTGTCTTTATTTTGAATCCTGTGACATTATTGAACTCAATTATTAGTTCAAGGAAGAAATACTTTTTAATAAATTCTTGTGGCATGAGGCCTGAAATTAAAATTCAATATTGAGAGCTGTCTTAACATCTAGTAAAATTGAGAGGGCCTCAAATGGTCTAACTGCAATTCCCCACTACCTCTTCTCACACATGTGAGGTCCCCTAGCTATATGATCCTTCTTATCACAGGAACCAGACACAGTGCCTGTTTATTCCTGAGTAGCAGGCTTCAGTTCCCTATCAGCCCACTGAATTATCCAAACGAGCCCATCACACCCTCCTGTGGGAACCAGGGCTTGTCCCCACCCTCTTGTTACTACAAAGTCTGCCTCCCAAGCCCCTACTTGTTCACTCTGTTCCAAGTGTAATCCCCCACGTGGCCCTGCTTGGTGAGTGGTGTCCTCTCTTGGGCTGTGGGTAAATGTGACTTGTAAACTGCTGTTCATCCCATCTTTCAGTGTAGAACGTCGTGTGTTCAGCCAATCCCATTAGTTTACGGAGGGAATCTCTCACTGATGGATTGAAGAATAGGTGAGTAAGACAATTGGCGTCACAAACAGGATGGTCTAACCTCAGCTGAGGACAGTTGGTCAGCTTTAACTACCAGCTCCTTTGCTACTTAACTGGTTTGTAAGGTAGCAGTTACTATCTGGGATGTAAGTACCAGTTGCTGGCCAGCTTGGGCTTTAGCTCCTGTTCTGTTATTTCAAATGGATGTTGCCATCTCTTCG